CACTTATCTAAATCTCCAGTTTATCCTTATATGACTGAAGCCAAGGATCTTATAAGATTCATTCTGTGTGGAATGACCTCAAGTCTTAAATTCGTATTTATATGTATCAGACAGGTTCAGACGTTTATGATGGTGAAGTGACATTTAATATGCATTTAATGAACATGTGTGCTTGAAATATAAAGAGATAATAAAGAACAGTATTAAAGTCCAAATGTCCACTCATACAATATACAAAAAGGAGGAGAGCAAAACTGGGGCCCTTAAACATCAGTGGTGAGATCAGGTGCCATGTTTGAGTGAGCAAATCACATTTGCCACTCTGTCATGATCGGGAAAAAAGGGAAGAAATCCGTACACAATTCATGGTGTAAAATAATGACCGTACAACGTCCATCAACATATGACTTCATTGTTAAAATTAGAGTATGCTCTTTTACCATTGAAGATAAACTTCAAGTATTAAAAAAAGATTTTGTGATATTTCAGGAAAAGGGTATGTAGTATTCACCATATTTTGCATTATATTATCTTCATCATCATTTCTGAGATTATACAGAATATACATTTTCTTATTTATTAATCCTTCATGACATTAAATTTATAATGAATTATTAATGAATATTTTCTCCATCCTTCATTCTATATAAATAATCAGAAATGATAGGTGACAAAGCATGTGAAATTGAACGTGTCAGTACATACAGACAATAATAAGATTTTCTATCCTTAAGGTATTTCCAATTCTACTACTATTGATTTGTTTTGAACTTTGCATTAAAAATTCATGCCAAGAAAAAAATAATTTAAATTGACATTTTATTCAACAGGTGTAATGATAAATATTGTTAAGAACATAAAAAAAAAAGATAAATAAGTGTAAAAATTCTATAAAATAATAAAATATAAAACTTGAATTGAGACATTAAATACAATTGTTGACATGTAAAACATGATATTTGGATTTATAAATAAATAAATAATTCATACTTTATATATGATTTGTAAAAATATTTCAGTTCCATAATTCTCGAAGACAAAATAAACCACTGGACGGAATGCCTTCAGAAAAAATAAATTAGCTGCAGTTCAATTTTTATATAGTAGACTTTCAATAAATATAATACCATAAGTTACTAATCTGTCAGATTAAATAAGCATTTGAACCAGTGTCTGATGCAGTGTTACTGTACAGTGTTATTTTTTTTAAAGAGCGCAAGCAACATAGCTTGTGTACATATGGTATCAATTGTTGTGTAGAAGGTTTTGCAGCTGTGGTTGCTATGCCATAATGTAGCATCATGCTTGGTAATACGATTCTTAATTTGAAGTTCTCCTTTCACAATCTTTTGGAACAGTTGCTTGATGTAGACAGCTGTTTTGACAACTTCTGGATGTACAAAAGATGATATGTACTTTGGACAGCCTTCAAGAAATTCAAGGACTTCAGATTCCAAAGCCTTGAAATTATTGAAATATACAGCACAATCCATATATCTTTGTAAGTTCTGAAATGTCAACATCACACTTAAATTTTCTCCATGTTTACTGACCTTGACATCAATTTTGTTTGAGACAGCTAATGAGATTAAGGAATCGGTTGTTCGGATTTGTTTGGAAATTCTCTAAGGCATAAATATAGCTGTTTACGAAAAAATGACACTTGGAATTATTTTATTCATCGATGTTTAGTGTTACTATTCATCAAAATTATTTACAAACATCGACATTTGCTTTATTGAATTTTTCGAAATTTCAAGCGCAAATCTCTCTACGTCACGCGTGAACTGTCATGGCTGCCGAATAAGCGAGAAGAAATCACACAGATTTATTTTAAATGGTTTTCGCGTTTAACGAGCTACGATGTCAACAGTGAATTAAAATTTCGTCTTATTATAAGAAAGTTAAATGCAAAAACAATTTATTCGGCCTGCAGTCGCTCGTATTTAAAAAATATTTTTGCACCATTACGGAGATGCGATGGAATTGTAGCCCTCTCCAGAAAATATCAGATATAAACAAGAATAGATATGGGTTACCCCATATCCAAAGATATTCGACTTTTAGATTTAATATGTTTAACAGTGTTTATAATGACGTTAATAAAAAAAAAACTGCACTGTCTAATTATGGAACTGTTGTAAATTTCGTGAGTCCATAGCATTACGGTCACCCAGTCTCCTAACAAACAGTACACATAGGCCTACATGTACCTGTGTCCGCAAGACCAACATTAGCCTTGGTCTACACACGTTCGATGGAGCTGTCAAACGCATCCAGCGAGCTCGGAGAAACACGTTTTGTTTTGCCGAGAAGTTACGATGGCAGACAAAACTTTTCTTTTCTTAATTAGATCATATGAATACGAATTCTGATTAATAAAAATTATACAATCCCTGTTGAACTATATTTTGTTCTAACATTTGCATCTGCAACAACTTTTGTTTAAAATGGCCGGGTTAGGAAAATCAGGACCGGGTCGGAAAATTCTAAACTGAAAACCTTTTTTGTTTTGAAAATTACTGAAATATACTAATGTATTCGTCGCAGAAATTACTTACATTATTCAAGTTCTATATAAAATGGTATGCTGAACTTCAACACGAACCCGAATCTCCGATCCAGTTCTCGTTTTGCCACACATACCCTACAGTTTACAAAGTGTACACACGAGTAGAATCCGGCCAGGGATTGAAAATTCCGTCATTTAATAATACACACACACAGAATGATTAATTTTTTCTTTAAGAAGAAATTGTATGATAATTAACGGACTATAAACATGTACTTAATACAATTGTTGATATAGTATTATCAATTCATCGGTGAAAAGATATGAATCGAAGAATGACCTAAATATTCTCTGTTATCAAACATGTAAAAAAAAAAAAAAAAAAAGGCTGAGGAGGGAGCGAGCGTAGGAATATTGATATTTTTTATTTGCATTTCGGGGGAAAAGTGACTTTCTAATAATATTTTGACGTTATTTTTGATTTCTTTAACGTATGACATACACAACTTTACTCTTATCATGAACAATAATGTTGTATTTACTTATCATGATGGAACTATTTTGGTCGGACCTTGGTCGGACCAATTTGTGTGAGCCGCCGCTGAATACAGTAATATATCTTGCATTAATAGTATGCATTGATCGAATATATTAAAAATCGGAGAGGGCTACGTTATTGCAGCTAGGTTGGGGGCTGCTGAGTTCGGGGATTACCACAAATGATGATTTCTACCATGTCTGGCTCAAAACTCTGGGTAATCTATCCTCAGTACTGGGGAAGATTTGGGGGTAACCTCACCGTGCCTGAGGGACCGGTTTGATCCTTGTGGTACCAAGGGCAGGTTTTGGGGGTCTACGGTACCCAGCTACCCCTGGGGGTGTTATCCCCATGTTGTTGTATTCCAGGGGAGCCAGGTATAGAGTGAGGACCTGGGTCAGAACTTGAATTCATTCATTCCATGTGGCATTCACTCTTGTGGGTTCCAAGAGGTCTGTTCCCACCACAGTCACCTGTGGGTGCGCTGTCGCGCCAGGTCAGTCGGAAGGTAGTGAGTCCCTGGATTCCGCAGGGGTATTTACATCTATGTAGAAACAGATTGTGACAAATGCTTGCAACAAAATGTAATCATTGTTTTGAAATAAATGTGATTAAAGTTAATATTTGTTTCTATTCATTGCATCTGGGATTAACCCCAACTAATAGATTGCTGATGAACTTGTCAACACAGAAGTACTTTACAATGGAATATATGCATGTAACGAACAGAATTCAAGATCAGAAGTCCATAAAACAACACAAAATAGGATATAGCTGAGCAAACACGAATCTCTAAAACATCAAAAGTGGGATCTGAGGCGCCATGGAGGGGTGAGTATCCCCGGTCACACCCGCCCTCTGTCCTTGTCATGATCGAGAAATAACGGGGAAATCTATATATCAAAGTTCCGTTGAACTTCAGTATCTCGAATACCATGGACATTGCCTTATACCATGGACATATTGAAGTGATATGATGGTTTTGAATCATCAGAATCTCGAGGTTTTTTTTTTCAGTCCCATTAAGTTCGAGATAACTAAGTTTGACTGTATCTCGACCATTAACTGAGGAATTAATGGAGATCTTGGTATGACCATGATGATATGACCATGGTATATTTTCTTATTTGAAGCTTTGAATTATTCTTAGTTAATTCAAGAAACCTGAGTCCATGAAATAGACACACCAATAAATAGAACAAAATACAATTTTACACATTTTATTTTAAAATGATAAAAAGAATGATAAAAAGTTTAAATTTGTAGAAATTAAAATGTAATGAAGAGATGATTGATCATAACAGAAGTTATAGTTTTAATATTGTCCAAGTTATGTTCAGCTGGTAATTATGAGTGAATATCTTAAGTTTCTTCATGAGGTTCAACACACACAGTCTCTTATTTTAAACCGAAGAATTTCCTAAGCCTTCCTGTTAATGTTTTCCTTTTTGGTGGAGTGGGCACCTGAATAATAAAAAAATTGTCAAATATAAAAGTTAGTAGAATTTGATATATTTTGTTATGTTAATGCATGTGGAATGATTTAAAAAGGTAAACACATGGATAGAGTGAAATGCCTTGACATGAGGCATGATAAATATTGCTTTTTCTTGTATAAATAATCTTTTTTTATCAATGATAAATTGTATTTGAAAGACATCACATAAATTTATAAAATGACTTTAAATTACACTTGTTTCATCAACTTGCTTGTCAATAATTTACCTTTAAGAAATTGTTCATACACACGAGCGTACAATCAACTGAGATATATCTTTATCTGATGAAGTTTCATTATAGTGGCAAGTTGTGAAAAGTTAAAGTCATCACGTTTATCATATAGCTTGGTTGTTAGATTACCATTAGTGTCTTTTTCAAGTAAAATATTTTGTTATCAGCATTTTTAAACAACACATTAACACATTTTAACAAATATTAATCTCTGCTATGTCATTGTGTAGTCTCAACATTCTAAAAAGGAAGAAGGTATTTTATTAAGCAATTTTAACAAATATACTTTTCCATCTTTGCTCACAAGGTTTTCTGAACCCTCTCTCTGTACAAACAATAGATTTATATGAAAGAACATTGCACAATTATACATGTACTGTAGATCACTTAATTTTCGCGAGACCTTATTTTCACGAGATAGTCATTGACTCTTTATTAGCGACACAAAATTTTCACGATTTGTGGTCATTGCTCTGTATAATCTTTACTATTAAATGCGAAATGAAATTTTCGCGAGCTTTGCAATTACGGAAAATAAAGTTCTCACAGGAAAAACTTCAAAATGATTTCTATACATTAACATATCAAACTTTTACCTGTGGAGAGTTTTTAAACGTGTCCACCTTGAACATGAAAAGCTTTCTAGGGACAAATAAATCTTCTTCCTCGTCCTCTGGGTTGGTGCCTTTGTTGAATTTCTATAAAATATGCAACCTTCATTACGGTATTTTGCAGAAATATTAGATTTTCTTTTGTTTGTTTCAATTTTACATGTCAAAACTATGACAACTATTAAGTCAGTCTTTCACTGATGCATAACTTTCTTCTCTTATCAATCCATTTTTGTCTCAATACTCCACATTTTTGGATGCCAAAAATATAAATAAAGGAAGTTTACATGAAGACTTAATTACCATCAGCTCTTTGTGGATAGCTTTCCAAATTGTCTCCCTTCTTACTTCTCTCTCATTTCTGCTCTTCAATTCTCTTAATGCTACTACCTGAAAATAAAAATTAATCAAAACTAATTTACAGTTTAGATTTTTTTAAATTGGGAATAATCCCATTTTTAGTTTTTGTAATATTTCAATCAGTAACAGAAATACTGGGTATTTGGCTTATTTACCTTAAGCTCTTTCAACATTTTCACCATTGCTTCTTTTTATTTCATGTTCTGTATTCTCTCCATATTTTTCCTTGTCAAAACTGCCTATAAGAAAAATTTCAATAAAATTAAAAATAGACAAAACAAGCTAGACAGGACCATTAAACTTTAGAACATAATCAAAAAGTACAAATAAATAATAAATTAAGGATAAAACACATAAAAGTTTACCATCAACTCTTGATGCATCGCTCTCTGAATGGTATTCCTTCTTTCCTCTCTTTCACTTCTTTTCTTAATTTCCCTTGATGCCACTACCTGAAATTCAAAATATTTCTAAACTAATTGAAAGGTTTAGTTTTTTTTCAAAAATTATGAAATTCCCCCACCTGCCCATTTGTATCAGTTCCTGGAACTATATATCTATAAAATATGAATCCCTTCATTTCGGTAGTTTTGCAAAAATATTAGATTTTGTTTTGTTTGTTTCAATTTTACATGTCAAAAATATGAAAATTATGTAGTCAGTCTTTTAGATGTATTAAATTTTTATCTTATTCTTTCTTGTCTTATCATATTAATTCATCTCTCTGTTGTTTTCTAATTTTGTCTCTATGGTCCACATTTTGGATGCCAAAAATAAAAAAAAGACATTCACTTGAAAACTTACCATCAGCTCTTTGTGAATAGCACTCAAAATTGTCTCCCTTCTTTCCCTTCTCTCATTTCTGCTTTTTAATTCTTTTGATGCCACTACCTGAAAATGAAAATTTATCAAAACTAATTTACAGTTTAGATTTTTTTGAAATTGGGAATAATATTAATCCCATTTTCAGTTCCTGCAATATTGCAATCAATAATAGTAATATTTGACATATTTACTTTAAGTTCTTTCAACATCAGCGCCATTGTTTCCTTCTGTTTCATGTTCTGTATTCTCTCCATATTTTTCCTTGTCAAAACTGCCTATAAGAAAAATTTCAATAAAATTAAAAATAGACAAAACAAGACTGGACCATCAAACTTTAGAGAACATAATCAAAAAGTACAAATATATGAAATAAGGATAAAACAATTTACCATCAACTCTTGATGCATCTCTTTCTGAATGGTATTCCTTCTTTCCTCTCTCTCACTTCTTTTCTTAATTTCCTTTGATGCCACTACCTGAAAATCAAAATTTTTCAAATCTTATTGAAAAGTTTACCTTTTTAAAAAAATCCCCCATCCACCCATTTATTATCAGTACCTGGAACATTGCAACCAATGACAGTAACATTTGGCATGTTTACCTCAATCTCTTTTAACACCTCCAACATGATCTTCTTTTGATGATGGAATTCTATTTTCTGTTGGACCCTTTTAACCAAAACTACCTTTATAAAAATAATTAGATAAAGACAAAATAAAATTTTTATATCATCGAAATTTAATTGCATATATACAAAAAAGTATATATGTAGAATGATTAGATACATGTAAAAGAGCAATTATATTTTTTTTTATTCAGAATTTACCTTTAATTCTTCGTGGATTGTCTTCCAATACTTCCTCGATTTTTCTATGGCAAGAAATGTTTGCCTGAGCTTCACGATCTTTTTAGGGGCTTCTTTCTGTAATACAATTAGAATACATGTATTTATCAATATACAAAGAAAAAAGTTACTATCATTTTGCATCTTTTAAGAAGTCTACACAGTACGTACCATTAGTTCTTCCTGCATCTTTTCTTTAAGCTTTATTTGTGGCGCCATTGCTTTCAATTCTAATTCCATTTTTAATAAGTTCCTCTATAATAAATAAACAATTATTGGGTAAATAAATGAAATAAATAAATAAATTCATGAGTGTTATCTAATTGACCTATTATAAAAGGAGAGGGTGTGCATAGACTTTGTCATTGTAAATTTCACGTGTGAATTTTAATATTAAAAAATAATACTTAAAAATTTAATTATATAATCTTTCAAAATGTGCTCATTTGTAAATAAAAATGGTACTCGTGTATTTTCTCAAAAGTATGTATTAAGCCCTGCATTACCTGTCGCACTTCTTCCTCTTCGACCATTTCTATCCAACTTCTTTCAAATTTTAATATCTCTTTCTTTGATTTCTGAAAATAAAAATTCACAGAAACATCTTTACTTGTCTCCAGCTATCTTTATCTCCGATTATATAAGATAGTTTTACTCTCGAACACAAAATGGTTGATACGTAAATGATGTATATACTTGTAAGTTTTTATCAAAAGGCGTTGGTCTAGCATTTTGATCTTATTGACTTTACTTTAGATTTAGATTTGACACCCCCACCCCAAAAAAAAATAAATAAATAAATTCACAATTCAGAGTCTAAAATACTCACCAGGTCTTTTACAACTTCTTCACCGAAGTCCAAAATCAATTCTCCGTCCTGTAATAGATAAAAAATATTTAAGTTTCTAAAAACTTGACCCCCCCCCCCCCTCCGCAATCAAATTAATATTTTTAAAGTAAATGGTAAGAGCTGCTGATAAGATACTTACAAAAGGGATGGGGAGCATGTTTATCGGTATATCAGCTGATCGGCACGCCAGCTCGCTCAGAATTTCCTCAAGTCTCTGTTCCGTGTTCATTTTCTCACTCTCTACTGCAGTCTGGAAAAAAAATAAAGCTTTAAAAGTGTTGCTTGATTCGTTTTTAGAATATATATATACTCCACAAGAATATTGTAAGATTTAACTAAAAATTGCCAAAATTATTATATAGGGTATAGATGTAATTACTACACATTTAATTAAGAAAATGAAACTTATGACGGGAATAAATAAAAGTGGAAAAATATGTATTTCGATAAATTATTTAAAATTACAAAGGTAAAAATTCGTTGAAATTAATTGTATTTAATAATAAGAAAATGACTACAACCAGCATGATTAATGAACCGCTCACATAGATTACAACTCAAGAAAGATACCCACGTGTATGTACAGAGTACATATACATGTACTGGGTAAATGTGAACGGATCAAAAGACTTCGAACATTATTAATTTCTTCTCACTAGACTTTAATTTAGTGCAACCGGTTAGACAAAGTATATTTAAGTGTTAATGAAGATTAAAAGCGTTCACAAACAGCATTTCAGTAACAGAAAAGGTTTTACTCACAAATTGCACCTCTGTCGCTTTTTGTAAACAAAACTAAACTATGACGTCATAGGTCATCGTTAAAGACCTCAATGATGACGTAACAATGTGTTAATGAATTTATCATTTTGATAGGCACACTAGGGCCTAAATCAAAACTATACTTTCTTTAATTATACATCTAACATGTACATGTAGTATAATAATAATTCAAAAAAAGTTCATCATTCCAAATATTTAGGATGATAAGGTTCAACATTTAAAAGAAAAAGTAATGAAAGGAAAACTACCAGTGTGAGTCCTTTCTAAATCTATCTAATACGAAAAATTGTTTAACTAATCAGATGTAAACAGATCTATACGTAGCGTATGAAGAGCTACATGTAACAACTCACGAGGCAAATGATTTTTTCCTTACATACACTTTAAAAATGCTTTTACTTAAAATACATTAAAATGCTAAATCTAAGAGCCTACTTACAATTTGCACGTCCACGACTATGTTGTCAACAAAACAGTGATGTATTATGACGTCATAATCACACTCAAAGGCCTTTTGATGTTTGAAAACATTTTGGTGATACTGATTTCCGAATTAATTATTTTGAATAAGAAATAATATTTCTGCTATTAAAATAAAAAGGAAACATTTGATGGTTGTCAATCCCACAGCTTTTTATTTATGTTACAAAAAAACTGCGTAACAGTTTGATATCATTCTAAGAATTAGCATATAAAAAGAAAATCAAATTTATCCCCCTGGAAAGTGAAATATTACTGAACTAAAGGTATTGTGAGCAATGTGCTCCCCCCGTCTCCCATATGAATATAATGGGAGTGTCTATGTTTTGTTGTGGGAAACCAAAAATATGTGGCAGATCAAAAAGTAAAATTGGAGGTACACAATGGCAACATGTAATAACGATTCTGTGAAAGTTTCATCAAATTTCATTTAGTGGTTTGAGAAGAATTGGGGGTAAGAGATGGGTTCCCTAAAGCGTAAAAGACAGACAGACGGACGGACAAACAGCTATACAGACGGACGGACATACCGATTACTATAGATACCCTCCCGCTTTTCAAGCGGGGGTATAAATATGGAAATATATGAATATTAATTTGACCGGTGGCGCAAAAAATGAGGCATGCGTGTTTTTCACACGTCGCTTTTGAGCTTAATATACAAAGAATATTATAATGTTGAGTATCAATGTTTAGGGATTGTTTTGTACCTTCTTTCCACATAAAAATCACAATTGAATTTTTTACTTGAAACAAGTATATTAATTTTTTATGTTAGAGTATAGTTTTGAAAAATGACGAAATTTTTTTTTATCTGCGACATTGATTTTTTTTTATTTATTTCTTTCTTTCTATATTTGCTTTATTTATCCTAGTAATGATTTATTTAAACGCAGATAGAGAAGTTTCGTATATATATATACCAGTATGAAATATTGTATGCTATACATTACCTGGTACATGTAGACTTAATTAAATTATTAAAGATATAACCTACATCAAACAATGTGGAAGGATATTGTTAATTATTAAGTAGCTGCAGATCTGTGGCTCTCCGAATTTTTTTTTTGTACGACGGGTGAAATATTTAATTCAGCATAAAATAAATTTTGTCAAATCATGTCAAAAAGATAAGGTCCTAAGCTACTAGAGTATGTAAATATGTTTGAATTTTGTCTTTTTTGTGGTGATAATTTATAAAATTTTATCACTTTTCCGTTTTTCAAAGGATATTGTATCCAAGTTTAAATAAAAAGAGTTTTTAATCATATTTCGGTATGGAAATAGGCAAAAATAAACCTAGTTTGTAAGAGTACAGAAAATTTCCTGTCCATTAGTTTTTATTTCATCAAAATCGGATAAGTATTCACCTATCTACATTAGTTTAAGTTTAGCATTCTCCGAAGAAATGTTATTGGTTTTAACGAAAAAGTGATACAACGTTATGTGAAAGATTTGTGTTGTGACACGATTTATTACACTGATGTTCATGGTATAGATGTTCCTCTAAAAATATTATAGAAGTCTAATATATGCATGAAATTTAAAACAACACCTATTTCTTTCTTTCTTTCTTTCTTCATTTTTTTCTCTCTTTCTTTCTTTATTTGCTTTATTTATCCTGGTAATGATTTATTTAAACGCAGATAGAGAAGTTTCGTAAACATATATACCAGTATGAAATATTGTATGCTATACATTACCTGGTACATGTAGACTTAATTAAATGTAGACTTAATTAAATCATTAAAAAAAATATAACCTACATCAAACAATGTGGAAGGATATTGTTAATTATTAAGTAGCTGCAGATCTGTGGCTCTCCGAAAAAAAAAAATTGACAGACCGGAGAGCTACAGTGCCACCCATTGAAAAAAAACTGTATATTTATTGCGCACAAAAAAGTGCGCTGTTTATCGATTTATTTCTCAATGTTTTTGAAACTTTCATTTCAAAATATTACTAACCGAGTGTTTCTAATATATTTTTTCATTGTTTCCACAACAAAACAGTTCTTATAACTATTATTAATAGCCATCCTGGCCCTGAAATCGAGATTAGATCGTTGAAAATTTCGTCTATTTATACTGCCATTTTGGTTTGCAAGATAATTCGGCCCAATGCGTTTCGTGTAGATGTCAACTTCGGAAGTACTTGATAGAAGAGTACGGAATTTTTGAAATCTAATCATTTTTTGCAAGTGAGGTGAGAATTTGGAAGAATTAATCCGCAACCAAGCGCAAATTTTTGTGCGCAATAAATGTATTTTTAGCTCACCTGAGCCGAAGGCTCAAGTGAGCTTTTCTGATCACATTTTGTCCGTCGTCCGTCCGTCCGTCTGTAAACTTTTCGACTTTTCAAGAACCAATATGCCAATTTTAACCAAACTTTGGTACAGAGCATCCTTGGGTGAAGGGGAGTTTAAATTGTTAAAATGAAGGGCCAAGTCCCCTTACAAGGGGAGATAATCAAGAAAAGACAAAAATAGGGTGGGGTCACTAATAAATCCTCTTCTCAAGAACCACTGGGCCAGGAAAGCTGAAACTTATATGAAAGCATTCTTGGGTAGTGTAGATATTAAATTGTTAAAACCATGACCCCCGGGGGTAGGGCGGGGCCACAATAGGGAATCCAAGTTTTACATAAAAATATATAGAACAAATCTTTAAAAATCTTATTCTCAAGAACCACTGGGCCAGGAAAGCTGAAACTTATGTGGAAGCATCCTAATTTTTTTTAAAATCATAAAAGGGAAGAGGGTAGTGGGGCATGATAGGTATAGCAAGAGGGGGAGTCTGGTAAAGAACTGCATCACTCGAGTTACTCAGGCGAGCGATGTGGTCCATGGGCCTCTTGTTTCAATGGGTGGCACTCTAGCTCTCCGTTCTGTCAAAATATTTTTTCGGAGAGCTACAGTTCTGCAGCTAATTATTAAGATGCTGCTCCGGAAGACATGAAATGTTTATTATCTGTTTTTGGGAACATCCTCGTAGCCGCATTACATCACATGTGATGCATGGACACCACGTGTTTCCGTTTCTTCTGAAAACAACACAACAAACGCTCGGAAGAATTTATCTTTACTTTAGGCCTAAACTGCAGTCTACTTATTTTGCTTGACCATGGAAAACGAACTGATATCGTCAGATGAAGAGGATGCCCTGGATCTCTTGTTACAGGATGCGCTTGATGATGATCCAAGCGATCCAGCCTTTAATATTGATGACATGTAAGTCTACTCTTTGTACACACTGGTCTAAATTTTGAGTAGGAAAATTATCAATTTCAAGAATTTGATCTTTATTTGCTATTTTGTGAAAGAGAGTACCTATATTTATAAAAGTATTGAAACTTGGGAATTAGGGGAAAGATTTAACAATTTACAAAAAAAGATTAGTTTGTGAAACACTGATGCCCCCGTATGGCATCATAGCGAAGGTTAAGCCTTCTCAAATGCAGATCAAATATGTTGGTACCTAAAGTAAGGCCTTTTCACAAGAAATACAAATGTTAAATATAAAACCCTAGCACCACCTGTTCAAGGGTTATGGCCAAGGTTAATATTTTTAAAATAAGGACAAGGTCAAAGGGTCAACGTTATTGGTTTTTAAAGAAAGATCTTGTCTCAAAGATTACATATGGGAAGTATAAACGTGCTGGCCCTTACTGTTCAAAAGCTATGGCCAAGGTTAAAATTTGTAAAAAGTTGGTCAAACTCCAAGGTCAAGGGGTCAAGGTTCTTGATATCCAATGAAAGGTCTTGTCACAAGGATAACGTATGTGAAATGTGAAAGCTCTAGTCTAGCCCCTACTGTTCAAAAATTGTGGCCAAGGTAAAAGTTTTTGAAAAGAAGGTCAAATTCCAAGGTCAAAGGGTCAAAGTTCTTGGTATCCAATGAATGGTCTTCCCACAAGGATTACATATATGAAATATGAAAGCCCTAGCCCTTACTGTTCAAAAGTTATGACCAAGGTTAAAGTACCGAAATCTCCTAGGTCAAGGTCAAAAGGACAAAATCATTGGTTTCAAATAAAATGTCTTGCCAAAAGAATTGATATTTGAAATATGAAATTTCTAGTGTATATCGTTTAAAAATTAGGGCCAAATAATTTTTTGGTATTTTTGTGTAAAAGTGGGTCAAACTCCAAGGTCAAACGGTCAAGATTCTTGATATCAAATGAACGGTCTTGTCACAAGGATTAAATATGTGAAGTATTAAATCCCCAGTCCTAACCATTCAAAAATTATGGTCAAGGTTGTATTTTTAAAGTAGGTCAAACTCCAAGGTCAAGATCATAGGGTCAAGGATTTTGGTATCAAATAAAGGGACTTCTCACACAAATTACATATGTGAAGTATGAAAGCCCTAACAATAACCGTTTAAAAGTAATAGCCAAGGTTAAAGTTTTTTCAAGTTTTTAAAGTTAAGTACAGAAATATCCAAGGTCAAGCTCAAGGTTGTTGCTATCCAATAAAAGGTCCTTCCACAAAGAATACATATGTCAAGTATAAATATCCTGGTATCTACTGTATAAAAGATATGGCCAAAGAAAAACTTCAATTTTTTTTTGTAAAAGTGGGCCAAACTCCAAGGTCAAGATCAAAAGTTCAAATTTGATGGTATCCAAAAAAAGGTCTTGTCACAAGGAATATGGGAAATACGAATGTCATAGCTCCAGTATATCAAAAGTTATGGACAAGGTTAAAGTTTTTGCGGACAAACAGACAGACAGACAGAGAGACAGCTAGACAGACAAACAGCTAGACAGACGGACGGACAAGACAAAAACCACTAACACAAATTGAAGTCTTCAGCTTAATTTGAGACTTCTCTAAAATGAATAATTTGTAGTACTAGAAGTCAAGTAAAGAGAAATACAAAGAAGAAATTCAAAAATTGATAGCAGCAACATGTAGATATTAAAAGAAAAGAAACTAACAAAAGAAGATAATGATGATAACAGCAGTTGGGGATTACAACATATATAACCGACATACTGTAGTTGTAAGGCGTTTTTACTAGATTATAATTACAGTGCTGTGAAAACTGTTATAGTAGTACTGTACAATTATAGTTAATTATGCCCCCGTAAACAGAGTTTCGGGGGTATATAGTTTTTTGTTGTGTCTGTCTGTCTCTCTGTCTCTCTGTTTGTCTGTTTGTACGCAAAAACTTTACCCTTGCCCATAACTTTTGATTCAGTGGAGCTATGACTTTCATATTTCACATGTGTATTCCTTGTGACAAGACCTTTCTTTGGGTACCACCAAATTTGACCTTTTGACCTTGGAGTTTGACCCACTTTAACACAAAAATTTTTGAATTTTACTTTGGCCATAACATTTGAACGGTAGATACTAGGACTTTTATATTTCACACATATATTTTTTGTGGCAGGACCTTTCATTGGATACCACTAACCTTGACCTTTTGATCTTAACCTTGGATATTTACGTAGTAATGACAAAACTTTATCCTTGGCAATAACTTTTAAACGGTAAGAAATAGAGCTTTCATACTTTACAATTGTAATCCTTGTAAGAAGCCGCTTCATTCCGTACCAAAAGGTTTGACCATTTGACCTTGACCTTGGAGTTTGACCTACTTTTAAAAAACAAACCTCGACTATATCTTTCAAAGGGTTAGAGCTAGTGCTTTTATACTTTACATGTTTAATTTTTGTGACAAAACCTTTCATTTCATATCATGACTTTTGACCTCTTGACCTTGATCTTAGAGTTTGACCTACTTTTAAGTTTTTTTTAAACCTTGGTCATAACTTTTAAACGGTTAGGACTAGGGCTTCCATACTTCATAAATGTATTCTTTGTGGTAAGTCCTTTTATTGGATACAAATAACCTTGATATTTTGACCTTGACCTTACAGGTTTCCGAACTTATGAAAAAATATTAACCTTGGCAATAACTTTTCAAGAATATAGGCTAGGGCTTTCATACTTCATATATGTAATTCTTGTGACAATACCTTTCATTCGATGCCAATAACCTAGACCTTCTGACCTTGATCATGGAGTTTAACCTACTTTTAAAATCTTTTAACCTTGGCCATAACTTCTGAATGGTTAGGGCTAGGGCTTCCATACTTCATACATATGTTCTTTGTGGAAAAATCTTTCATTGGATACCAATAATATTGACCTTCTGACCTTGATCTTGAAGATTTCTGTACTAAAAGCTTTTGCCTGGTCATAATTGGGAATAGAGAATAATATTTTGTTTCACATTTGTATTTCCAGTACGGAGACCCTACTTTAGGTACCAATATATTAAATTTGCATTTAAGAAAAGTTTAATCTCCACTATGTTGCCATACGGGGGCATCAGTCAGTGTTTCAAAAACACATCTTGATTATGACAAGAAAGACAACTCAAAACCATTGTTAACTTTAAAAATATTTTTTTGGAGAATGGTTAAAATAAAGTGAGCTTTCAGTAAAATATTCATAAATAATAAGACGCTAAGAAAATTCTCGCATAAAGTGAGCTTTCAGTAAAATATTCATAAATAAAAAGCTCAAACCCCTAACTAATAGACTGATGATGAACTTATCATCACAGGAGAACTTCAACTTCAAAGTGCCGAAATATATACCCATTTTAGATACACTGTAAACAATATCTACCGACTGAGCTACCATGAACAGTACAATATTCAAGCTCAAAAGTCCATAAAACAATACAAAATAAAAGCAGAGCAAACACGGACCTCCAAAACAGAGGTGGGATCAGGTGCCATGGAGGAGTGAGCATCCCGTGCCGACCGATCACATCCGTCGTATGCTCCTTGTCATGATCGGGAAATAATGGGAAAATCTATAAATCAAAGTACAGTTGAACTTCGGTATCTCGAAAACCATGGATATATTGAAGTGATTTGATGGTCCCAATTACTTATTTTCTAAGTATTTTACACGTTATATATCTTGAATCATCAGAAATCTCGAAGTTTTTGCTCATTCCCATTGAGTTTGGGATAACTAAGTTTTACTGTATTTTGTCCACAAACTGAGGAATTTATGGAGATGTTGGCATGACTTTGGTGATATGATCATGTTATATCTTCTTATTTGGAGCTTTGAATTATTCTGAATTACTCAAGAAATCTGAGTCCATGCAATTGACACACAAATAAATACAACAAGAGTGCGATTTTATACATTTTATTTTTTTAAATTTATGAAAATAATGATAAATAGAGAAATTTAAATGTAATGTAGAGATGATCGATTGTAACAGAAGTTTGTTTTTTGTCCAAGTTATGTTCAGTTTTTTGTCCAAGTTATGTTCAGGCGGAAATTATCAGTGAATATCTTAAGTTTCTTCATGAGGTTCCACACACACAGTCTCTTATTTTAAACCAAAGAATTTCCTTAGCCTTCCTCTGAAAGACTTCTTTTTTGGTGGAGTGGGCACCTGAATAATAAAAAATATTGTCGTATATAAAAGTTAGTTGAATTTGATATATTTTGTACTATAATACATGTAGATATAAAAAATAAACACATGTATAGAGTGAAATGCCTTGACATGAGGCTTGTTAGATGTTGCTATGTCTTTTTTACCTATTTAAATTCACTGATAGACATCACATAAATACCTAAAACACAAATTACACATTCTACATACCTGTCCTACACTTGAGGTACACAGGTCCTTCTTAATCTCTGTTTCCTTGTGGCGTTGTGTAGTCTCAACATTCTAAAAAGGAAGAAGGTATTTTAATAAGCCATTTTAACAAATAATTTTTAACAAATATTAAGCTATGTCATCTTTGCTCACAAGGTTTTATGATCCCCCTCTCCTTACACACAATAGATTTATATGAAAGAACATTGCATAATTAGCATCTCCCATTGATAGTACGTACATGTAAATGTTGATAATATGCATATTTTCATGGATATTTTTGCACAGAAAAAAACTTCCAAATGATTTCTACACATTACTAGTAATATATCAAAATCTTACCGGTGGAGAGTTTTTGAATGTTTCCACCTTGAACATGAAAAGCTTTCGAGGGACAAATAAATCCTCTTCCTCGTCCTCTGGGTTGGTGCCTTTGTTGAATTTCTATAAAATATAGAACATCTAATGTTATCTTGTCAATCCATTTTTGTCTCAATCCTCCACATTGATATAACGTAAAGAAGTTCACATGAAGACTGAAGACTCACCATCAGCTCTTTATGAATAGCTTTCCAAATTGTCTCCCTTCTTTCTTCTCTCTCAGTTCTGCTCTTCAATTCTTTTGAGGCCACTACCTGAAAATGAAAATTTATTAATATGTATTAACAGTTTAGGGTTTTTTTTTTAAGTTGTGAATAAACCTAATTCTAGTTTTTGCAATATTGCAATTAATAACAGTAATATTTGACCTATTTACCTTAAGTTCTATCAACATCTGCACCATTGTTCCCTTCTGTTTTGTGTGCTGCTCTTTCTCTAATTTTTTCCTTGTCAAAACTGTCTATAAGAAGAATTTCATAAAATTAAAAATAGACAAAGCAAGACAGAACTATCAAACTTTAGAACATTATCAAAAAGTACAAATATATGAAATGAGGATAAAACAGTTTACCATCAACTCTTGGTGCATCACTCTCTGAATGGTATTCCTTCTTTCCTCTCTCTCACTTCTTTTCTCAAGATCTCCTGATGCCACTACCTAAAAATCAAAATTTTTCAAAATCTATTAAAAGTTTACCTTTTTTTTGAAAAATTATGAAATCCTCCCATCCGTTTTTTTTTTCAGTTTCTGGAACACTGAACCAATAACAGTAATTTTTGGCATATTTACCTGAAGCTCTTTTAACACCTCCGACATGATCTTCTTTTGATGATGGATTTTTATTTTCTCTTGATTCCTTTGAACCGCAACTACCTGTATAAATATGATTAAATATAGACAAAATTGATTTTTCATATTATAGAAATTTGATTGCAAATATACTAAAAGTATATGATTAGATACTTGGTGCCTTTGTTGAATTTTCATAAAATATGGAATCCTTCATTAAGGTACCTTGCAGTTGTTTGTTTCAATTTTACATGTCAAATCTCAAAACTATGAAAATTATGTAGTCAGTCTTGTAGATGTATAAGATTTTTATCTTATTCTTTCTTGTCTTGTCTTATTGATTTGTCTCTATGTTATTTTCTAATTTTGTCTCTATGCTCCACATTTTTGGATGCCAAAAATATAAATAAAGGGAAGTTCACATGAAAACTTACCATCAGCTCTTTATGAATAGCTTTCCAAATTGTCTTTCTTCTCTCTTCTCTCTCATTCCTTCTCTCCAAATCTCTTGATGCCACTTCCTGAAAATGAAAATTTATTAAAACTTATTAACAGTTTAGGGTTTTATTTTAAAATAAAGTGCCACGCCACAGCATGATACGCCCGTCAAAAAATTACACAATTATCTTTAACAGTTTAGAGTGCTTGAGAAAATCATATTTTTAAAAATTTTTCCATATATATTCCTTTTTAAAAAAAATATTTCTTTATCCATCCCCTGTGCTGTAGGCATAATTATAACAAATATTACATAACTGATAGATTTCCACATGTTTGTGTTATCTTTGTGAAATGCCCATGGTAATAAACAATATCAAATTTTTTAACAACTTTTCCCAAATAAATTTTGTAAAACTTGGGCTGGCCATCAAATGACATATGCTATAAACTGACCAGCAGTTCTTCTGAATCTACCCCAAAGGATATTCCACATGAGTTTCATCTTTCATATAGCCTTCCTACATTGAAATTAAGAATCTTTGAAGATTTTTCCTATATATTCCCTAAATATTAATGGATCTGCACTTTTTATCCTAAAACACTTTTAAAACATATAAAACACTCCATGATTTCTTTTTAAACTTAATGCCAGACACTTTTATATTTAATTCATATGGACATGAGTTTCATCTTTCCTGGCCCATCCCTTAAAATTAGTTTTTAAAAATAATTAATTTATTAATATCATTTATTAGTTTATTATGCAATATCAAATAAGTTTTAATTACTTTTCATCCCCTTCATTTTAAAACTTTGTACCAACAAGTTTTTTAATTGGCTTAGGCTGGCTGTCCATTTGCCCAAGAAGATGAAAATGTAGATAAACCAATGCTCGACAACAACGACAACAACGACACACTAAACTCATTAATTTCTCTCTAATTTGACATGCAACTTTCTGCTATCAAAATTCTTCTTGATCAGTGCTTGATAATATATGCCCATGGGACAAAACAGTTCCTCTCATTAACATTGACATTTGTTAAAGATCTCTGTAAAGGTATGATGAAAAAAATTTTTTACTCTCTCTAATACTTTTTAATAATTACTTAAGGATACTCTCTATTTTTTACATTTCTAAAAATCAAATTTTTCAAAATTTATTAAAAGTTTACCTTTTTTAAAAAAATTATAAAATTAAAGGACACAGTGACCTTTTTTTAGTTTCTGGAACACTGAACCAAAAATGTAATTTTTGCCAAGTTTGATAGCTCTAGGTCTAATAGTTTTCTTTATGACCTCCGACATGATCTTCCTTTGATGATGCATTTTTATTTTCTCTTGATTCCTTTGAACCACACACCGTGTATAAATATGATTAAATATAGACAAAATTGATTTTTCATATTATAGAAATTTGATTGCAAATATACTAAAAGTATATGATTAGATACTTGGTGCCTTTGTTGAAACCTTCATAAAATAATAATCCTTCATTAAGGTACCTTGCAGTTGTTTCTTTCAATTTTGCATGTTGCAATCTCAAAACTATGAAAATTTGCCAGTATATCAAAACTGCCTACAAGAAAGTTTTCAATAAAATCAAAAATAGACAAAACAAGCTATACAGGAGCATTAAAATTTAGAACATTATCAAAAAGTACAAATATATAAAATAAATTAAGGAAAAAATACAACACATTACCATCAACTCTTGGTGCATCGCTTTCTGAATGGTATTTCTTCTTTCCTCTCTTTCACTTCTTTTCTTAATTTCCTTTGATGCCACTACCTGAAAATACAAATTTATTAAAATTAATTAAAAGTTAACCCTTTTCAAAAGATATGAAATAATCCCAATTTTTTATTTTTGCATTATTGCAATCAATAACAGTAACATTTGGCATATACCTGAAGCTCTTTTAACATCTTCCTGGCAGTCTTTTGATGATGGAAAGTTTCTCTTTAAAATCAAAAATACCTGTGTAAAAATAATTAAATAAAGACAAAATAATTTTTTTGAATCATAGACATTTAATTGCATACATACAAAAAAGTATAGCATGATTAGTTACATGTGAAAGAACATATATTTTTAGTCCCCTACCCATTACCATCAACTCTTGGTGCATCGCTTTCTGAATGGTATTTCTGTCTTTCCTCTCTTTCCCACTTGGTTTTCCGCAATTTTTTTCCGCTGGCAGATTTGATGCTGAATTTTGGTAAAATCCAAATTTATTAATATTAATTAAAAGTTTACCTTTGTCAATGAATTTTTAAATTACGGCCTTTTCAATTTTTCTGGGTTTTCCCATTTTTTATCAGTTCGCTTGTACATATTGAACCAATATATGCAGTAACATTTGGCATATTTACCTGAAGCTCTTTTAACACCTTCGACATGATTTTTGATGCTGGAATTTTGAATTTTTCACATTTGTTTAACCAAACCTATCTGTATAAAAATAATTAAATAAAGACAAAATTAAATTTTTATATCCTAGAAATTTAATTGGATATATACATAAAAAGTATAGTATGATTAGATGCATGTGAAAGAGCATATATATTTTAAATTCAGAATTTACCTTTAATTCTTCGTGGGTTGTCTTCCAAAATTTCCTCGATTTTTCTATGGCAAGATATGTTTGCCTGAGCTTCACGATCTTTTTAGGGGCTACTTTCTGTAATACAATAAGAATACATGTATTTATCAATCTACATATGTACAAAGAAGAAAGTTAATATCATTTTTCATCTTTTAAGAAATCTACACATTACGTACCATTAGTTCTTCCTGCAACTTTTCTTTAAGCTTTATTTGTGGCGCCATTGCTTTCAATTCTGATTCCTTCTTTACAAGGTTTTTCTATATAAACAAACAAATATTAAATTAATAAAATAAATAAATAAATACATTCATGAATGTTATCAAATTGATCTATTATAAAAGGAGAGAGGGTGCATGCATGGGCTTTGTCATTGTCAATTTCACTGCATGGATTTCAATAAATAATATTTAAAAATGTAATCAAATGATCTTTCTAAATGTGCTCCTTTGTAAATAAAAATGGTAAGCACTGCATTACCTGTCGTTCTTCTTCTTCTTCAACAATCTCTACCCAACTTCTCTCAAATTTTAGAATCTCTTTCTTTGATTTCTGAAAATAAAAATTCACTAAACTTCTTTACTTGTCTCCAGCTATCTTTTTCTTCGATGATATAAGATACTTTTATTCTTGTACACAAAATGGTTGATACGTAAATGATGTACATATAGTTGTGTTTTACCGCTTGTAATTTTTTGTCAAAAGGTATGGGTCTAGCATTTTGTTCTATTTATTGTCTTTACTTTAGACCCCCCCCCCCCCCAATGAATAAATTCACAGTCTGTAATACTCACCAGGTCTGTTACAACTTCTTCACCAAAGTCCAATATGAGATCTCCGTCCTGTAATAATTAAAAAATATGTAAATTCAAAATTTATGGCATAAAACTATCTAAACATAAGGTATAAGTTTGAACCCACTCAAGTCAATAATCGACGTTGCAAAATAATGTTTATTTTAAAACAGGGTGTTATTTTGTTTTCAATGTTGTTAATGTACTCTAGGAACTTGATTTTGCCCCCCCCCCCCTCCCACCCCTGCAATCAAATCATTTTTTTTTTAGTAAAGAGATTAAGAATGGCTTACAAAAGGGACAGGGAGCATGTTTCTCGGTACATCAGCTGATCGGCAGGCCAGCTCGGTCAGGATTTCCTCAAGTCTCTGTTCCATGTTCATTTTCTCACTCAATAGTCAATACTGCACTCTGAAAAAAAAATAAAGCTTTAAAAGTGTTTTTTTTAAATATAGATACTCCACAAGAATATTGCAATTAAGGTTTAACTAAAAATATTGACTCTTATGAGGGATGAAAACGGAGTTAATAAATATGGAATTTCTATAGTACATGCATTGCTGATAAATTATTTAAAGTTACATAGGTAAAAATTTGATTTCGTAAAATTTTATCGCATTTAATTAGAAGGAAACAACAGCAACCAATACGTTCACATTTACAGATCGCCACGTAAGGAGACTTCGAACATTAATTATGAAATTCTTCTCACTAAATCATTAATTAAGTTAAACCAGGTTGACACACTACATTTTTAAAGTGTTATGGGGGAAAATGGCATACAGAAATAGCATTTCAATAACTGAAAAGGTTTTACTCACAAATTGCACCTCTGTTGCTTTGTGTAAACAAAACTAAACTATGACGTCATAGTTCATCGTTAGAGACCTCAAACGTGACGTAACAATGTGTTTGTAAATGTATCATTTTGATAGGCACTCTAAATCAAAACTATACTTTCTTTTAATTATACATACACATGTATTATGATAATACAATAATTCAAAAAAGTTCAACATTCCAAATACATGTTTTTAGAATGAAAAGGTTAAACATTTAAAGGAAAAACTAATGAAAGGAAAATGCTAGCATGGTTCTTCTCTAAATTCAATTCGAAAATTGTTAAATTGTTTAATTAATCAGATGTAAAAAGATATAAACAACGCACAAAGAAATTATTTTATCCTTACATACACTTAAAAATGATTTTACTTAAAATACATTAGGCTAAATAGTCTAAAGAATTTACCTGCACATCCACCACTATGTTGTCAACATAACAGAGGTTTATTATGACGTCATAATCACAATCAAAGGCCTTTTGATGTTTGAAAACATTTGAGTGATACTGATTTCCGGAATAAGAAGCATAAATTAGGGAATATTGTAAAAGAAATATTTCTCATAATCTTTAAACATTGATGTTTGTCAATCCCACAGGATTTTATGTAACATTTGCATATTAGTTTGATCATTCTAATTAAATGTATAAAAAGAAAATCATACTATAGTAATTTATCTCCTGGTTCCAAAGTGAAATAAAGCATATGGGGAAAACGAACAGTATTCAAACACGGACCTCCAGAACATCAGAAAACTGCTGACCGGTCAAACCCGCCCTGTGCTCCTTGCCATGATAGGAAAATAACGAAAAATCCGTCGTCAATTCAATGTAGGAGGGCTGTTCAAAAATTACGCGGAATCTGCTATTATTTACTCTAACAGGCGTCATATAGTTAATTTGAAATTTCACAGAAATATGTATCTCACAAATTCAAATTAATTTTGGGCAAAATCAGGGACGTAGCAACGGGAGGGGGGGGGGCACCTTTTTCCCCCCCCCAACATTACCTTTACTATTGAAAATGTCCATTGACAGGTTGATTGGCCCCCCACTTCTTACTACAGTATAGTAATATGAAGGAAATGTAGTAATGTAGGCAAAAAAAAAATGGAAGTGAAAGGAATTTGGCCTTCAAAAAAGTTTGCCACTACCCTCCATCCCCCACCCCCAACGAAATAGGGTTTTCGAGGTTGGCCAAATTTCCTTTTTTTTTTTTTTTTTTGTCAACTTTTACAGGTAAGAAAAAAATTATTTTTCTATGGTTGGCCCCCCACTTTCAAAAACGATGCTACGTGCCTGAAAATATCTGTATATAAAAAAATTTCTAAAAATCATCGCTGTGTTGATATCGCTGATGGGGAGGTACGGAGCACGGCAAAAACTTTGAAACAAAAGCATGCGGAATCCAAAATTTGACTCATTAATTTTTTATAATTCGCGATATTTTTTGACAATTTTCTCCAATGTATCTTACGAGGGTTGTCCCGTAAAATCGTGGACAAAGCATTTTTCTCGAAAAGTAATGGGCGCACTAAGCTGAAAATTTCAGTAAATACATATTTATCATATCTAAGTGCATGATAATTTTTTTAATAAAATATAGGCAAAAATAAAGATTTTATTATGCTTGAATGTGCACGAGGTATTGTCCTACGGCGCACGGTCAAAAAACCAAGGTTTTATTAAAGAATACACAAGTTTGAATTCAAAATAAAAGTTTTAAATACATAAGATTTGGATTAAAATTATCCTAATTCAATTCCACAATCAATTTTGTAGTCTTTGTAAAAATTTTAAAGCATTTGCTTAATTTTTTGGCAGTTTCTCGAGCATTCGAAATGGGAAAGTGGTAAACAGAACATACGAAAAATGGCGACGTTTTATGACGTTACGGAGAACAGTTCAGTTTTATTTCGATGTTGTAATGACACCTTTAAAGACTTGAAATGACCATAGAAGAAAAAAGATTATAAATATATCACCATATCTTAAGTATACAAATGAAATAGGTGTTTTCTTAGCAAATTTTTTTTTTTGATCGAGTCCCTGGGGAGCACAAACTCCTAATGTAATAGCAAAAGACGCTGTCACAGTAGACCGCCGATATGAGGTTTTCTATTAGTTGAATGATGGTGAGAATATTGTCCGTAACTTACTAATAAATCTTCAGAAGATCGCATGAGGGTGCCAGTTGGTTCTTTGACTGTTTATAGAGACTAAAGAATGTGTATCAATGAAATTCCTAAATTTAAGTCGGACTCATCCAACTTCATTTTCAGCAAAGATAAAACGTGACATTATAATCCATGCGCCGTAAGGTGATACAATACATGGCATAAAATCTCATAATTTGTTTATTTATGCATATATTTATCTGAAATTTGCTGTGTATATTGCTAAAATATGTACTAGATAATAGTGAAAATTTCAGAACGCAGTGATGTTTATTTTTCACACTAGACAACTTGTCCACGATTTTACTGGACAACCCTCGTAATATTGATCTTTACTAAGTATTTAAATTTCTGACGTAATATTTGAAGTACTAACAGAAATACAGTGAATTTTTTCCAGTGCGATTTCTGTGAAAACCACAGGCAATTGGGGTATGGCCTCCCCCCTTGTAATTTTTTAAATCTGGGTTTGAGTCACCTTTTTTTCTATTTTTTTTTTATTCTAATATGCACTATATGTTATCAATAATGAAACTCTTTGTCTCTTTAAACTGTTTTTAAATATTTCGTTTTTAACTTCTTTTCTCTCCATGTGCACCAACTGGACTGAAGCACTCGGTATTTTCGTGCGTCATCATTACGCCTTATGTCATTTGGAACATTACATTCTAGCCTGGTTCCCTGTCCCTTTGCTATACTACGCGCGCGTTCCTTGGCAAGGATGAGACAGGGGACCAGGGACCCACTCGATTGGGACCCTTCTTATTCCAGAATAACCATCCTGTCTGCTCGATTGGTTTGGTAGGGTAGACTTAGAAGGCCCTCTCAGCCTTCCACGTAGAGATGGAAGGGTAGCTGAAGGATAGCATTCTAATATGGCGTCAAGCAGTTTGGTGAAAACTTGGGGGATTTTTATTATTGTAAATAAACCAAACTTAAAACAAAATACAAATAAGTATTTTTATCATGTATGAAGGGTAATTTTGTTAAGAAGCCTTTTTCTGTTATGTAATTGCAGTAAAATCAACCATTGAACACAGTTTCATAATTTACCATGTAATATGGGGTGCAGATTTGAGCCGTAAATACTGTAAATCACTTTTTATTCACGAGAACTTTATTTTCGCGTAATTACGCGAAATAGTGTGCTCGCGAAAATTTAATTCTCGCGTATAATAGTATTCCTTAAGAATATATAAAGCAATAACCACAACTCGCGAAAATTTAAATTTGTCTCGCTAATCAAGAGTCAATGACTATCTCGCGAAAATAAGGTGTCGCGAAAATTTTGTGATCTACAGTAGGTCCCTGATTTGACCATAATTATTTATTTTTTTTTTTACATGCTCTTTAATATTCTTCTGTCTCAGACACTTGATGTTTTAAATTTTTCTTTACATAAATAAAAAAAAAAAATCCCAATACTATTATATTAAATTAATTTTTCCACTCTTAATTATCTCAAGTTTCCCTTTCGAACTAACATTTAATGCTTTAAAAAACGGATTCAAATTCTTGAAATTCAACAATTGCAGTAATTCAAAACATTGCAGATAATATTCCATCCTATTCAGTATCCTTCTGAATACTCGATTTAGACATACATGTATATTCCAACCCTTCCAACATTCCCCTCTGCTTCTAGAAGGGTCCCAATCGAGTGGGCCCCAGGCTAATTGCTAGCGCTCTTGAGCGCTAGCAACTACTTTAGTCAAAATTCCTAGAATACGCATGCTCGGCATCACGGTCGTGCATTCTGGGAAAACTGTGAAAACTTCTATAGATAGACCGTACGACAAAAATTTCGTTGTATCATTAAATAACTGTTTATTTATTGTGTAGCTTACACTTTAAAGATAACTACATATAATTGTAATACTTCAAATTTTCCATTTTTTCTGACGGAAAAGTCTGAGTCATTGTCTGATTGTTCTAAACAAAGACAGGGGCATTTTTTTTTTTACAACTAAGTAAAAGATAGACTATTTTCAAGACCTCACCACAGTAAAAAATAATCTATATGCTCGAAATCATGGCAATGTAGGTCAAGCAAAGGATTTACACTAAAAATTACGAACAAATGCATCATTTATTAAAAAAATTCTATGTATGGCTTTTAATCAAACAGTTCTTGACAAAGATGACCCGAAGGGCCAAACTACTTCACATCATCATAAAAATTATTTGGAACTCTCTGGAAACTCCAATGGGTCAACACAAAAACTTCACCCCAACCCCAATTGTTTCTTTACCTATGTGTCTTTAAAGTATTAAAATACACTTTACAAAAAATTATAACTTTATCACACCCAGCCTCGATAAACATTAAAAAATTCAGCAAAATAAATCACTTGATCACGAACCTCCCTTTCT